ACAATGGTAAGGTAGAAGCGTTCGAATTAGATTTCTTTATGAGTATTCACTTGAATTATCTTCCTTTGAGTGATGGAGTCAAATTTATTATTGAACCTTATAGCCCTCATTGATTTAGCCGCCAATTTGATTTTTATCAATATACCCCCGGTCATTTGGAGCGAGATTTTCGTGAGGCCTCATTAGAAGAAGCGTTAAGACTTGCACAAATTTGTGTGTTGACTAGGTCTAAGTCAAGAGCAATATTTCCTCCTTTTGGTTCCAACATGAAGCAGTTCATATTGTCTAACTATAGATCTTGGTGGGAAATAGTGCATGGAAGATCTCTTGAAGACCACTTATAATTTTTGATGAATAATGTTGAGCCAATCACAAATACTCTTCAAGAACACAACAAGGATGTCCTAGTAATTGATAAGCTTCCTTCTTTAAAGACTAAGGTAGTTGAGACGCGCATAGGCAATAGACCTCAGCTACATAAAGAAATTCAAAGAGAAGAGAACAATGCTTCAGTTAACAAAAGTCTCATTCCATTAGATGTAGTTATCGATGCCTCTAAAACATGACTATCCCAAGAGGACAGTGATAGCGGCAAAGAAGATCAAAGTTGGAGAAAAAGGCCTAACCCAGAAGGAGTTGTAGAGGTCCAAAGCATTGATAGCCCTCCAAGAACACTAACATCTTGTAACGAGAAGGTAAAAGAAAATGTAAACTTTTTATTTTTGAACCACAGATAAATGACTTTGCTAACATTTTCTTATATTTTTTTTGCAGCCAAATAACATTGGAGCGTTGCAATGAGGAAGGCCATAAGATAGTGGTGAGTCTATACCAGGATCAGACCCGCAGAAATCATCTTCTACAGCTAAGGCAAATCAAGAGGCAATTTCTATTTCTCGTGATGGAATTAGGGCAAAGCTGGGTTTATTTTGTGTGAACAACCAACAATTGCAGCCTCCACTTTTATGGAAAGAAGGTTGTTTTGGATATTTGAAAGGAGTTTATCTTGAAGCTTTAGACTTCCATCCAGCATAAGCTGAAAGGTAGTGAGCACATAAGGTTTCTGAGCTTCGCAAGAATACTAAAGTGATCCTTAACTAAAGTCCCTTTTTGAGTTGGTTGCTTCATATGACAACACATGATCTGCTTTATTAAAAAAAGTTGAGGATACTGCAAGATCAGAAATTGAGGTACACCTTACAAAATCCATAATTGAAGAAGAAGAGATGGCTAGAGAAGCGTCATCTATCCATCAGTCCCTAGTTACAGTAAAAGAGAACATAGAGAAGCTCCGTGAAAAAGAGAAGAACTTAGAAGCCCTTCTAGAAGTTGCTAAGAAAGAAGTTGAAGAAGGCAAGTTACGAGCCTCAACTGCTAGAAAGGGGTATGGTGCATGCTGCAATGTTGCCTTGCTGAGTGCTGATGACTTGGCCAATTTGGAGAAGAAGAAGAAGAAGAAATATTTGGAAGCTATGCTCAAGAATTTGGCCAACTACAAGTTGTGTTTAAATTAGCCTATAAACACGATTTTATTTGTTTTTTTCTTTCTTCTTTCATTTGATTGATTAGTAGATGATCTCATCAGCAATAAAACTTCTTTCGTTTCACATTATATTGTGCATTCTCATTAATGTTCTCATTTGTTCTTGCTTTCTTTTTAATTTATGTTCTTCAACGATCAGGACTTGGTAGTTTATCCATATATTCTAAAGAAAAACCTCACTTTTCTTTTTGTTAAGGTGACTGAACTTAGAATAAAACTCTAAGCTCCCTACGTACCTCGGAAGAGGATCGAGTCATTATGTAGTTCGTAACAAGTGAGCTTCTTTTTTTAATACTTTATGAATTTAAAGACTTGGCAAACTTGAAGACTGTAACTTTAAGAACTAGCGGGCTTGAATACTTCAAATTGATGATGTAACAGACTTGACAAAATCAACTTAACTTAGAATTATAGAGTTCAACTTGAAGATTTAGCCTTTTACTAAATGAATACAATCATTCCATCAGAGATCTCAATTTGACATAGAGGGTTTGTCCCTATTGAACCATCAATATCTGATAAGACAGAGAGTTCAACGAAAGAATACATGTGCACGAAATTATCAAGTGTCAATCAAGTAAATTACATTCCATCATACTTCACTCGAATAATGCCTTGAGTAATATGTGTTTTTTGAACCCATATGACTAAAGTTGTCTACGTACCTCGGTGAAGAGGATCAAATTATACCGTAGTTCAAAATGGGTGAGATTTTTTTATTGTCCTAACTTTTGCCTAAGACACATCTTTCGAGGTTTTTTTAGAAAATATACTACTAAGTTGGATGCTTAGTACTGTTTTTTATTAATATCAAAACCAGAAAATAAAGTGTCAAAAGGTCTCACAAAATATGGGAGTATAAAACATGAACATACATCACATCTATTACCAAAGTTGAGTAATACACCCAACCTAAATAGTACACGTTGAACTATGGCATGCTTAGGATGAAGAATTATAAAAACAAGCCAAATAACAACATGTAAAATGCTATCCCAAAGTGTGCACCAATAATTGCACAAGTAGACAAACTTCACCTATGATTCAGACCATGAACACTTCTTTTATATTTGATCAAATAGCTCCTTGTGATGCCTAAAACTGATAACCATACCTGGATTAGCAAGACACTTAGCTAAACCATACGCAAATAGGACCAACATCACTGTCCAGTTCAAGGCCACCAAGTTGGTATCGTGATTTGTGTGATGACCCGCCATGTCATCATGCCATATAGACGCCATTTGGCATATATTAATGTCATGTGGAAGCTTACATAAAAAGAAGGCTAGCATTTATGAGAAGATTCTAGAGAAGTATGGATATTTCCTTAGGAAGAACCTAGATCCCTATAGATTTGCTAGGAAAGTCCTTGGAATCTTCTAGGTTTGGAGAGAGTTCTAGAGAAAGCCTTTATCTTGTAAATACTAAGGACTTGTGTAACAATTAATATTTACACACTAGCCCCTAGGAGACTAGTATATAAAGGGGGCCATTCATTTGTAATTCACCAAGCAAACAATTCAAGTTCTCTCTAATACAAAGCTTCCTTTAACAATTCTCTTGTGTTCTTTCTTCCATTCTCTTAGCGATCTTGAGTGTAGTAAGGCTGACTTGACATAGCAAGAACGTGAGCAAGTTATGCAATATCGTGAGCGAGTTGTCAAGTGTTGCACATGTACTTAGTTAACAACTAAGGATGTGACAAGGTGGTATCAGAGCGAAGGTTTCAACTAAGGTAATGGCGAACGACGGAGAAATTAATGCTGCCAACACCTAAGCCAACATCATCTAGGATATTGCTGGCAAGAGCGGCGGTAGCAAAAAGAGGAATGCCACCAACAAGAGAAAGGAGGTGCCACCTGAGGTTGTGTCAAACGAAGGGCTTACACCCCAAGAACCATCTGCCACTGAGGCGAGCGAGGATGGAGTGGAGGTCCTTCCAGAGGATGTCTCGCTCGGTAAAGAGTGGGTGATGAAGATGAATGCAGGGATGGACGCCATGGAAGTCTTTGGCCAACGCTTGGGGAAGGTGGAAAGCACCCTTAACGTTCCTGAGGGGCACACTCTTGAAGAGATTGAGACTATCCGAAATGACTTGGAGGGACGTACACAGACTGAGATGGAACTAAGGCAAACCATCACTGCCTTAGAGTGCAGACTCATGGAGGCTTTGAGTACCATCGATGCTATGAAGGCAAAGATAGAGTCACTCGAGGAGAATGTCAATGCTGGCGTGACCGAGGCAACTAGCAATGCCGTGGTGACAAGGGAGGCCAAGATCGAGGCTCCCAAACCCCCAGTGTTCAAAGGTGTTCGTGATGCACAATAAGTGAAAAACTTCCTTTGGCACTTGGAGAACTACTTCAGGCACGGCAAAGTGAGGGACAATGAGGCCAAGATCAACACTACGGTATTGTACCTCTTAGAGACTGCCATGCTATGGTAGAGAAGGAAGATGGACGACGTGGATAAAGGTTTACGTACTATTAGCACATGGGATTAGTTCAAAGCGGAGTTCAAGCGACAGTTCTTTCCAAAGAATGTCTTGTACGAGGAAAGGCACAAGCTTAGGGAATTAAAGCAAACAGGGAGCATACGTAACTATGTCAAGGAGTTCACTACCCTTATGCTTCAAATCCCCAACCTAACCAATGATGACTTGGTGTTCCACTTCATGAACGGGTTACAAAATTGGGCTAAGCAGGAGTTGCAATGCCGACAAGTCACTGATATATACCAAGCCATAGTGGAGGCTGAATCATTGATGGATTTCAGGCATGACAGGCACGACAAAGGCAATGGCAAAGAGTCAAAGGTTAACAATGTCAAAGGTGGGGAGACCGTGGAAAACGAAAGGAGATACAACAACAATACTCCAAGACTCAAGATCCCAAAAACTCGAGTGGTCGTCAGGGCTACGCCGAGAAGAAGGCACAGGTCGATAAGAAGGGATGCTACATATGCGGAGGGCCGCACGACTTCAGGAATTGTCCCGACCTCAAGAGCCTCAATGCCATGATCCATGAACGGAAGGAGCAGCCGCAAGGAGAGAGTTCGGGAATCGCACAATTGGGTATGATCGAATTATGTGGTGTTGTCACAAAGCAAGCTATCCAACCTACCGAGAATGGCTATCAGTACGTGGTCTCACCATCAACAACAAGCCCACTCATGCAATGGTGGATACTAGAGTAACTCATAATTTCGTGACTGAGGCTGCCGCAAAGAGACTAGAATTGAAGCTTGCTCCAACCAACTCTCGCATCAAGACCGTGAATGTCGAGGTACAAATGCTCGTGGGGTAGCTAATAGAGTTGGTGTCAAATTGGGATCTTGGAAAGGTATGACAAACTTTACCATAACTGCTATGGATATCTTTGACATCATACTAGGGCAAGAGTTTTTTAGACATTGTCATACTTTGATCGACCCCTACCTCCAACGTCTTTTAGTTATGGAGAGAGAAGGAGCTTGCATGGTACCTACAGTAACTATGACACACGGACAGATCCAAGCACAACTCTCAACTATGCAAGTTGTCAAGGGGATCAAGAAGGGGGAGCTGACGTTCGTGGCAACCATTGCAAGTCTACAAAAAGACAAGAATTTTCAAGAGATAGTGTCGCCTTTCATAGAGAAGTTGCTTGAGGAAAACAAATATGTCATGCCCGAGGAGTTGCCTAAGCACTTGCCGCCTAGGCAAGAGGTGGATCACAAGATTGAGTTGGAGTCAGGGGATAAGCCACCCGTATTTGCCCCATATCGTATGGCACCGCCCGAGCTGGAGGAGCTCAAGAAACAATTGAAAGAGTTGCTGGATGTTGGTCACATTCGCCCATCAAAAGCACCTTTCGGGCACCAGTATTGTTCTAGATGAAGAAGGATGGATCGTTGCGCTTCTGCATAGACTACCGAGCACTTAATAAGGTTACAATGAAGAATATCTCACTCATTACTGCTTTGTTCGATAGACTTGGGCAAGCCAAGTACTTTACCAAGATGGATCTTTGAAAGGGCTACTACCAAGTTCGCATTGCGAAAAGGGGATGAGCCAAAGACAGCATGTGTGACGAGATATGGAACCTTTGAGTGGTTGGTGATGCCCTTCGGCTTAACCAATGCACCAGCCACATTTTGCACCCTTATGAACAAGATTTTTCATCCCTACCTTGATCAGTTTGTGGTAGTCTACCTAGATGACATAGTCATCTACAACAACACCTTGGAGGAACACATGGAGCACTTAAGGAAGGTTTTCCAAGTCTTGCGGGAGAACAAGCTATACATCAAGAGGGAGAAGTGCGAGTTTTCACAATCAAAGGTGCACTTCTTGGGCCATGTCATTAGCAATGGCGAGCTACGCATGGACGAGGCTAAGGTACGTTCTATCCAGGAGTGGGCGGCACCTATAAAGGTAACTGAGTTGAGATCCTTCCTTGGCCTTGTTAACTACTATCGTCGGTTCATCAGTGGATACGCAGTAAAGGTCACACTATTGAGTGAGTTGCTAAAGAAGAACAAGCCATGGGTTTGGACGGAGCATTGTCAAAAGGCATTTTAATGCCTTAAGGCAGCTGTAACAAAGGAGCCAGTCTTGGCATTACCTGACTTTGCCAAGACATTTGAGGTGCACACAGATGCATCAGACTTCGCCATTGGAGGTATCCTGATGCAGGATAAGCATCCCATAGCATTTGAGAGCCGTAAGTTAAATGAGACAGAGCGGTGTTACACGGTGCAAGAGAAGGAAATGACTGCCATTGTGCATTGCCTTCGTACATGAAGACATTATCTGCTCAGGTCGAGGTTCATGTTTAATACTGATAATGTGGCTACTAGCTACTTTCAGGCACAGAAGAAGCTCACAACAAAGCAGGCTAGGGGGCAGGATTTCTTGGTCGAGTTTGATTATGCGCTGGAGTATAAGCCGGGAAAAAGTAATGTTATAGCCAATGCCTTGAGCCAGAAAACCAAGCTTGCTGCAATCACTTCAGTAAAATGGGACATTCGGGAGGCTATAAAAGAAGGCATGCATCATGATCCAGCAGCCAAACAGCTTATCGAGTTAGCCAACAAAGGCAAGACGAGACGGTTTTGATAGAAGATGGCCTATTACTTACCACAGGTCGGCGGGTCTACATTCCTAAGTTTGGAGACATTAGACGACGGATCATAAGGGAGAGTCATGACACAATGTGAGCTGGTCATCTAGGTCAACGCCATACTAGGGTCTTGGTTGATTCACTCTACTATTGGCCATGCATGCGAGATGACATAAAGTGCTATGTGCAGACTTGTCTTGTCTGTCAACAGGACAAGGTTGAACAACAACAACCCCGAGGACTTTTGGAGCCACTACCAGTTGCAGAGCATCCATGGGAGAGCGTGACTATGGACTTTATCACTTTCCTACCGAAGTCCGACAGTTATGGTACTATTATGGCGGTAGTGGATAGATTTTCCAAATATGCCACCTTCATGCCTGCCTCACTGGGTTGTAAAGCTAAAGAAGCCGCCAAGCTATTCTTTAAGAACATGGTAAAGTATTGGGGCTTACCAAGGCATATCATTAGTGATCGAGACCCCCGCTTTACTGGAAACTTTTGGAGAGAGTTGTTTGAGATACTTGGCACGGAACTGCACTTTTCTACTAGTTTCCACCCACAGACAGATGGACAAACGGAACAGGTTAATGCCTTACTAGAATGCTAATTAAGGCATTATGTAAGCGCACATCAGAAAGATTGGGAAAGGCTCCTAGACATCACCCAATTCCTTTATAACTTGCAGCGAAGTGAGTCCACGGGGCGGACACCATTTGAGCTAGCCACATGCCAAAAACTACAAACTCCACATTCATTATTAGCCGCATTCGAAGGAACAAGTTTGGGGGCTTATCATATGGCCAAAGGATGGGAGGAGCAGCTCGATACCGCTAAGTCCTACTTGGATAAGGCAGCTAAGAAGATGAAGAAGTTTACGGACTGTAAGCGGCATCCCACGGACTATAGAGTTAGGGACATGGTCATGGTGAAGTTTAACCCAATACAGTTCAAGGCACTACGGGACATGCATCAGAATCTGATTCGTAAGTACGAGGGCCATTTAAGATCGTCGCCAAGGTAGGCAAGATCTCATACAAGCTTGACATGCCATCATATCTTAAGATCTACCATGTCTTCCATGCCAGCATGCTTAATCCATATCATGATGATAAGGATGATCCGAGTAGGGGCCAATCAAGTCGAGCGCCAATGACTATCACCACCTCGCATGATCGGGAGATTGAGGCTATCATAGATTACCAGGCCAGGCGAAAACAAGAGCAAAATTCCACCGCTATGTTCCTCATCCATTAGAAAGGACAATCACTGGGGGAGGCCACGTGGGAACAATATGAAGACTTGTGGCAATTCAAAGATAAGATCGGAGAGTTTATGCAACAGTATTGTGCTGCGGTCGTCGCAATATTGGGTGGGGAGAGTGTGATGGTCCTCCATGTCATCATGCCACATAGGCACCATTTGGCATATATTAATGCCATGTGGAAGCTTACATAAGAATAAGGCTAGCATTTGTGAGAAGATTCTAGAGAAGTATGGTCATTTCCTTAGGAAGAACCTAGATCCCTATAGATTTGCTAGGAAAGTCCTTGGAATCTTCTAGGTTTGGAGAGAGTTCTAGAGAAAGCTCTTATCTTGTAAATACTAAGAACTTGTGTAACAATTAATATTTACACACTAGCCCCTATGAGACTAGTATATAAATGGGGTCATTCATTTGTAATTCACCAAGCAAACAATTCCAGTTCCCTCTAATACAAAGCTTCTTTTAACAATTCTCTTGTATTCTTTCTTCCATTCTCTTAGCGATCTTGAGTGTAGTAAGGCTAACTTGACATAGCAAGAATGTGAGCAAGTTGTGCAAGATCGTGAGCGAGTTGTCAAGTGTCGCACATGTACTTAGTTAACAACTAAGGACGTGACATTTGTCTTCAAAAATTCGTGACCAATCCCTATATATATGCAAGAACAAAACATATATAACTTCTTCATAAGTTGTACACGTTGTGTATGCTTGGAAACATCTCCAAAGTGCAATCCAGCAGCCCGCAAATGCATGGCAAACCTATGCCCGACGTTGTCAAATCTGGGCAGCTTGTTTTTTCTCCTGGTGAATTTAGTCATTGACCACATATAATACTTTTCAAATATTGCTTATTTAAGCTCATTAGGGATGGGGCAATATTGTCCAAGACCTGTTGCAAAACTCATTAACTCATCATGGTACTGTGAACGATACTGAGTTAAAACAAAATTCAGGAAACTGTTAGAAGAATAAAGAAATATATCAAATAGTAAAGAATCAGAAATATTCCGAGTCCACAATTTTCTTGTGCGTCCTTAAGGAATTTTAACCCCCTCACACGTTGCCAAGGTAATGGATTAAATCCTCCCAGGATGAAACGGAATAAACCTTCCTGCAACAGTGGCAATACAAACTGCAGGATACCAACGAACTCAAAGAACGGAGCAAAATCACACTTACGAATTCGAGAGAGAGAGACTGCGAATTAGGATGCAGTATATTCAGAAAGAAAGAAGTTCTAGAGTCTATTTCATATCTGGAAGATGCAGCCTTGCCTCATAATTTATAGGCAAATATCAGAAGAGGTGTCTGGAAAGGTGCCTTTTCAGAAAATACGCGGCCTGCCGCGGTTCTACCGCGATCGCGGGAATCTGACTGCCGCGATTCTACCGCGGCCAGTGAGGCCTTCTGAACCTGACTGCCGCGATTCTACCGCGGTCGCGGCAGAACCGCGGCCAATGAGGCCCTCTGAATGTTTAGCAGTGATTTGGCATTTAATTAATTATTAAATAATTAAATAAATTTTGTCCAAAAATAATCTTATCGATCGATCATTTGACAAATCCAAAGCCAAAGCCAAAGCCAAAGCCGAAGCCGAGCCGAGTGAGCGACGACGACGGCGTGAGGGTTCATTCTCTTCAACTCCTTTTAAGAGCTTTAAGAAGTGAATCTATATATAAGCACATAAATGTGATTGTCCCTCACCAATGAGGGACAAAGTGCAAGACAAAATTTCACTTCTTCAAAGTTTCATTTTCCCTCCATTTTATTTTCCTCCATTTCCAATTCACACTTCTTCTCTTTTACAGCCCAATGGTTTAAAGTCCAACAATCCCCCACATGAATGGGAATGGCTGTATCAAAAAAGATCATAGATGAAAGCTATGTGATTTTGCAAGCTATGTCGGATATACTCGGTCAATCGGTAGATTTGATATCTTTGAACCGTCGAACTTTTAGTGTATACCTAGACAGCCATATGTCACACAACCAACCCTTAACCGTCTTTTGGTTCTCATTGTTGTGTTCGTTTTAGCCATGAACACCGCCTGGTCTCATAAGTGCGTAGAGAATTGGCCTTACAGAATTCTCCTTGAAGCGGCTTACACTTCACACTTACGTAGGTGATTCCTAAACGTGTAATCCTTTAGATTGACACTATTTGATAGATACCTCATCAAACTTTGGTAATCATTAAAGAACGTGTAAAGTTCTATCCTTGTTACTGAACATTGTCTTCATCACGAGAATGGACCAAAGATTTTATTTTGACAATGTTGAACCGGTCAATCACAACTTTGTTTGAGCTCCTTGAACCTAGATCTCGGAACATCCAAAATTCTAGGTAGAGTTACCGCCATGTTGACTTGTCCTCGGCCATAGTCCCATTCCCTTAGATGATTTCTCAACTCCCTCTCTAGTTAAGCCTTTTGTAAGTGGATCCACAACATTATCCTTTGATCTTACCTAATCAATAGTGATAATTCCACTAGAAAGTAGTTGTCTAACGGTATTATGTCTTCGTCGTATATGACGAGACTTTCCGTTATACATAACGCTCCCGGCCTGTCCTATTGCAGCCTCACTATCGCAATGTATGCAAAAAGGAGCCAAAGGTTTTGGCCAGAACGGAATGTCTTCTAAAATATTCCGAAGCCATTCAGCTTCTTCACCGGCTTTATCCAATGTTATAAACTCTGATTCCATTGTAGAGCGAGCAATACATGTCTGTTTGGAAGACTACCAAGATACTGCTCCTCCACCAATAGTAAACACGTATCCACTTGTGGACTTTATTTCTGATGAGCCGGTTATCCAATTAGCATCACTATATCCTTCAATAACCGCAGGATA